AATTCTGTGCTTTCAATAAAACTCATATACCTAGAGTTATTAATTTCTCATTTTATCCGGCCCGTTGAAAGTGCTGAATTACCTAATGTGACCTGCGGTTCGAAAAGTCTGGAGACCCCTGCTTTAGAATATGGCATTAGGAAGGCCCAGAAAAAACAGGTGGGACTGAAATTAAATGGGACACATCAGCTGTTGGTATATGCTGATACTGTGAATCTACAGGGTGATAATAGTAAAAAGTAAGAAACGTCAAAGTAAAGGTATCCCTGTGACAGGGCATGGAGGCCCGTAAGGTTGTGAGATGTTGAGGTTCCCACATTTTCTAGACAGTCGGCTTGTGGATGGCATCAAGGTTGTCAGCCCTGTGTGCCATGCTGAGTCGACCCCAGGGCCATAGTGTGGATGGAAGGATTAGGTCACTTGAAAAAAATCCAGTGACTTCATCTGGACTTGAACCCGCGACCTTCTGGCTTGTAGCATTGTGCCTCAAACAACTATGCTACCGCGTGCCCCCTATACTGCAGGATACTGATAACAACTGGGTCATAATATAAATACCATAAAGAAAAATGTACACACTTTAATCGGCGCTAGTAAGGGGGTTGGTCTAGAAGTAAACACAGAGAAAACTAAGTATATGTTGCTATCTTGTCACCAAAATGCAGGGCAAAATCATGACATAAAGATAGGTAACAGATGTTTTGAAAATGTGGCACAGTTCAGATATTTGGGAACAATGATAACAAATCAAAATCTGGTTCAGGAGGAAATCAAGAGGAGATTGAACTCGGGTAATGCTTGCTACCATTCAGTCCAGAACCTTTTGTCTTCTCGTCTGCTGTCCAAAAACATAAAAATTACGTAGAATATACAAAACTATAATTTTACCTGTGGTTCTGTATGAGTGTGAAACTTGGCCTCTGACATTAAGGGAGGAACATAGACTGAGGGTGTTTGAGAACAGGGTATTGAGGAAAATATTTGGACCAAAGAGAGATGAAGTGACAGGAGATTGGAGAAAACTACATAATGAGGAGCTTCATAACTTGTACTCTTCTCCAAGTATAATTACAGCGATCAAGTCAAGGAGGTTGAGATGGGCAGGGCATGTAGCACAAATTGGGGAGAAGAGGAATGCATATGAGATATTGGTGGGAAGGCCAGATGAAAAGAAACCACTGGGAAGACCAAGGCATAGGTGGCTGGAAAATATTAAAATGGATCTTAGAGAGATATGATGTAATGAGATGGATTGGATTGATCCGGCTCAGGATAGGGACTAGTGGAGGGCTCTTGTGAACACAGTGATGAACCTTTAGGTTCCATAAAATGCTGGGTAGTAGGTACTCAGTTACATGTAGCAGTGGATCACAAGCATGTGAATTATGTTAGCCTTCCTGTTTCATGGAATTAGTGCTTTCAGTGCTATCTTCCGAAATTGGAAATTCATAAGGGCATGCAGTAACGTAGTTGGTTGAGGCACTGTGCTACAAGCTGAAAGGTTGCAGGTTTGATTCCTGATGAGGTCATTGGATTTTTAAACTGATCTAATTTTTTCAGCCACACTATGGCCTGGGGCTAAAGTGCATCTGGCACATGAGGCTGACAGCCTCACAGCCATCTATGAGCCGATTGTCTAGAAAATGTGGGAGCCTTGAAATCTCACAACCCTATGGGCCTCCACAGCCTGTTACTGGAATAGCTTTATATTTAATTATATTTAATAAAATTTATAAATGAATTACAAATTTGTTTCAACATATAACAAGCTAGTAGTAGGAAGCAAGGGTGGGTTTAGAGGCATCTTAACCTGGAATGACATTCAGCCAGCGTATCATGCAGATGTTCTGTTATGTATGTACTTGCAATGATTTGGATTGACTAGGGTACACCACAACTGAAAAGAACAGTTGTCCTGGGTGTTTCAGAAGGAAGTTATTCCCTTCCTGCAGCAAGTTTTCATGCCAATAGTGAATGCAATCTTCTCTGCACTGTCATTGCCTGTTGAAGAAAATGATGAACAAGGGAAAAGGGAGAAACAGCTACTTCAGCGCAACTACTTCCAGTTCATAGCTGCTGTTGTAACAAACAACATTTCAGAGGTGCTGAATGCTCAAGAGAGCCGGTTCCTTGAACAGGTGATGATCAGCATTATTCGTGGAGCTGTGGATTTCCCAGATCCAGTGGTAAGTTAGTGCACATGGTACCATAGTAGACATATTATTTGGAGGTGTCTGGTTTGATCCTCAGTCAGGGTGCCAATTTTCATTACCTTCCTCAGTTTCTGCAGGTGCATGATAAGATAATATCATGAAACTGGTCATGACAGATTTTTTCCAGTTTTTTCCCACTTTGCCATGCTTTATATCTGATCTCATGGCTTGTCACTTCTGCTACATAACCTGTACATCTGACATTTCAATTTGGAGTAACCTTCAAACATCTGTCACATAAATCTATTATTACATTTTCTGATAGAGTAACAGATTAAAACTTGTCCCCACACTTGAGTGATAAACCATTTTCATATCAGAGGTTGGGACAGGCACCAACTTGGAACTTTGCATCAGCATTCATATTAACAATATTAGGTTATATCATCACAAAACCACTGTTTTGATTTTATATGAAACCAAGTCTGTTTGTCTGTCTGTCTCTCTCTCTCTCTCTCACACACACACACACTCACACAGCGTGTCACATCAAAATCTTACTGGAACAAGTAATGATTTTGTACAGTGTTTGAGCTGGTGATACACACTGACAGTAAAACAAGTTAAGAAATGTGTGCATAGCATAACAATTCTGGTATGTTCCCTCACTTTTGTTTAATTATCTTAAAAACTGAAGATGTACAAAAGGTGTAGTGGCCTCAAGATGTATGTCATATAGCAGGGGGGGAAGCCATGTCTCCCTGCTACAAGACATGAAGTAATACTTTGATTATAAATCATCTATACTCTGTTCCCATTGGTGATATCTGATGTCAACAGATGGCTCTGGTGGTTTAGTATCTGCTTTTATCTCTACAAGATTTTAACTTCCTTTGTTGCCCAGTGATAAAAGACTCGCCGTGTCTAATGGGTCAAACTGAATAGAGTCCAATCCTTTGTATGCCTGATGATGGAAGCATATCCAGCTCCCCAGAATGTATAATTTTAAATTTAACAAAGTCAGTATACAGTGCCCAACATAATAATTTTGTAATCAGTAACAGTCATTTGTCACAGCTTGCATGGGACAGCTTTTTCAGCCATTTTTATTGTGTGATATTTTTAATTCCAGGCTCAGAAGACATGCTTCTCAATCCTCCGAAAGCTGGTGGATTTATGGGGTGGGAAGGAGCAGCCTCATGGCTTCACACAGTTCATATACAAGAACATCGTTCCTGCATGTTTTATGGCACCCCTCAAGTCTACGTTTGACCTATCTGATGCTCAGACATCACTGGCATTGGCAGAGAGTGCCATGTGCTTGAAGACTATCCTACAGAAACATGTGAGTTGCATTTACATAGTGTCATAGTAAATGTACATCAGACTAAATATATAACAAACAACCAAAATCAGCTGTAGAGCCATAACTATATTCAATTATTTAACACGGTTTTAAAACATTTCATATTTAAGTGTCTGGGAATTAACAAATATAAATGAGGTATGTAATGAAATTAGGGGGAGAATACATTTTGGAACTATTTGTTATTATTCAATCCATAAGTTGTTAGCACCCTGCCTGATTTACATATGAATTAGGATCATCCCATATAATTTTACCTGTTGTTCTGTGTGTTTGTGAAGTATGGTTTGTTAATATATATGGATAAATACCGTCTTAAGTGCAACAAATTTTATTGTAGTTTTTATAGTTTTTACTAATATAGTAAAAACTACAATAAAATAAAATTTAAAATAAAATAAAATTTGTTGCACTTAAGACGGTATTTATCCATATATATTGTGTGAGTGTAACAGGATGCTGAAATATAATATGGTTTGTTAATTTTAGAAAGGAACATAATTGAGGTGTGTGAAAAAAAAGTGCTCAGGAAAGTATTTGGACCTAACAGGGCTCATTCTAGTGGGTAGTTTTTATGATACTGCACAGCAAGAACTTTGATCTATATAGAACATTTGGTATTAGAGTACTGATGTGAATGGGGTTGCGATAATTTGGATGTGACAGACAAGAAGTGCATACATTTAGTGAGATGATCGTGGAAAGAGGCCAAATGAAAGACAGAAGACAGTGTGAAGAAAACGTTAAGCTCAGTTATAGGGAGGTGGGTTGCAAGAATGGGAAGTGTATGCAGTTGGCTTATGTTCATGTCCACTGGACAGCTTTTGTATTAGTGACATTGAACCTTCTTGGTCTTCTAGCACAGAGTTATGTATTTTATTAAGATATATTTTGAAGGCCACATCATAGCTCAAGCGGTTAGTTGCTGGCTTCCCATCGTGGCGGCCCGGGTTTGATCCCGGGTCTGGTCAAGTGTAATTTGTGGTGGACAAAGTGGCACTGGGGCAGGTTTTCTTCAAGTACTTTGGTTTCCCCTGCCAATCTTCATTCCACCAATTGCTCCACAATCACCCTCACCTATCATCTGTTGCTGGTACAGTAGGCCAGAAGTGGCCACAGTATAAGGGACATAGTCCCACCCCACTAGCAATAAACAAATATACAGGGCTACTATAAATAATTAATTCGTTTTTAAAACGCTATATTTTCCAAAGCATTACACATACAAATATGAGTGATATATAAAAAGAACCATAAACTCACCAAGTTTTCTTCACACTCTACAAATGTTCTGTGTGTGCCCCTTGGGTCACACGACACACGTCCAGGCGGTAGTCGAGCTCATTCCACACATTTTGTAGCATCATCCTGTAAATGGTCATCACTGCAGCATCGACGCATTCCCTCAGCTCTACTAGTGGGGGTATGTAAACACGATCCTTAATGTACCCCCAAAGGAAGAAGTCACAAGGTGATAGATCAGGTGATCTGGGGGGCCAAGTGAGCAGAGCTATGTCATCCTCACCAACACACCCAATCCAGCAATGCCGAAGTTCGTCGTTTAGGTAGCGACAAACATTGCCGATACCACCGCAAAATGCTTTGTTTACATGGCAGTTATTTTCCGTACTCTCTTTTGAATGCGCGTTGCACTGCTATAACAGAGGAACATCCTGCATATTCCAAAAAACAAAAACTCTTCTTGCTTTGTCGCCATTTTGTAAAGGCACTGAACTCATGCTGCCAACTGGTGCACACAATACAAACTTGGTGAGTTTACGGTTCTTTTTATGTATCAATCATATTTGTGCGTGTAATACTTTGGAAAATGTAGCGTTTTAAAAACGAATGAATTATTTATAGAAACCCTGTATTTTAGCTATGCAGTTTTAAGGGATTATAAGTAGGAATTCCTTTGTGTTATGATAGATGATAATGATATGCTCTTATTGCCGTTACTATGCAGTGGCCGTGAGATAAGCAAATATACCAAAACCGTTTCTAGGCAATGATCACAGACAAACAGGTTCCCACAGCAGCAGTGAATGCACTGTAGTGGAGTTACTGTTGGAAACGGTGTTTTCTACTTTGGTTCATGCTGAGGGGTTACAAGAAGGACAACTGGAGTTAGGATAGGCAGTTGGAAGGGAGCTGCCAGTCAGAGAGGACTTGATCCTGGAAGCAGAGGAATAGCCATTGTTAGAAGCCATTACCAGGCTACCACTGGTGAAGACACTGCAAGCTGGAAAATACTTAATGTGTGCTTTAGTGATTTATAAAGCGTGGAAATTAGCAATGGCCCTGTAGTTATGTGTAATTACGAATTGTGTGTTAAAGTGGTCAACAAATCTAATATCCACTCAAAACCCCATCAAGAGTTACCCATACACATGACAGTATATTCATTTTTGTGTTGTTCCTGTAGATTTGAGACTTGAAAGTTTAAATATTAATTGTTTACGATTTCATCTTATTAAAGTGTCATCAAATTTTGGCATTATCCTGATATGGAATGTGCATAATTCATAGTGAATTCTGTTTCTTCTAGGGGGATGAATTTGTCAACTACCTCCATGCAGAATACCTGCCAACTCTGCAGATCTCCCCACATCTTATAGATGAATATTGCCAGGCCCTCAAAGCTGAAAACAAAGTCTTCAAAAATTATGTTAAAGTAAGTGAAAGAAACTCTTATTTTGAGTTAATTAGTAAATGCCAAAAATATATTCATCTTCTCTGGCTCTCTGGCCTGTGGTGATTCAGAACTCGTTTTGAAACAGTTAGTTATTAGACATATGGTTGCTTCAACAGGGCGTCAGTCCATTGCAAGGCATCATACAGGGCAACGCAACACACAAAAGTTCAGACATGCAGGCATTCATGATAAGGAACCTTTGGGTTCCATAACATAAAGGAATTCTTGACCAGCTGAGCTACTCTAAAATTTTTAAAACAGATGTTTGTGCATATACATAAGGAGTTGGTCATGCTAGGTGCAGTGACAGGATAAATTAGCTGTGTCCAGTTTTATCATGATGCATACAAAAATTCATCATTGTCACAGGCTATAGATTTTTATTTTTCCTCTGTTTCAGGTATTTTTCCAACAAGCAAAAACATGACAAACAAGAAAGATTATGACCGAAACAAGTTGAATGGTAAAACTGATACTAGGAAAATATTTTCCCCCATAATTACTGGCATTACTGTAAATATTTCTTTGTAAATATTTAATTTTATACTGTTACACATTTTTCTGAGATAGCATACGTTTCTGTGCTCCCAACACAGATGTGATTAAGTTGAGTGTTTCATTTATTCTGATGTTATTTTTATAGTTGGAAGAATTGAGCAGTGTCTTATGTTGGATATATTTTTATTTACACTGAAGACTGATGCTGTCCTTTTGAAACAATTCACTGTTGTATAATTGACTGGATTTTTCGTTTGTTTTATCAGCATCTAGTGTCACTTTTGTGAAATAGAATCTCTATACAGATTTTGCTCAGTTCTCTTTATTTTAAGAACTTATCATAGGAGCAAGAATTCCTTGGTACATCACACCCTGGGAGCAGATGTTGTATGTAAGAATCATGTTATTTATTTTATGTGTATTATAAGTTAAATTCAATATTTTATTTGAACACTTGATCTCAATTAAAATCCTTTGACTACAGAATGTTGTATCTAATATGTGACTTTTCACTTTTGCATAATTTATTTAGGAATATTTTTGAACCTGTTTTCTGGTCGTATAAATTGTTAACTTACTGTTCTTTGTTAAGTTTTCAGTTTCCCAAAGCATCTGGGCTGTATTTTATAGCAAAAATCTTAAATCCATTCTTATTAGTGAAAACTGGAAATTTGTAAGCATTATAAACAATCTAGCATTCTGTAGCAGAAACTTTTAAGTTAACTGCTGCTGGTGGTAAAAATCCAAACTGGAGTTTTAAGACAGTTTCTTCTTATTTTTTTTTCAGTACAAGCTTTTTCTTGCCATATCTCCATTAGTGAGAAGTATTTCTTGCTGGTTTTTGTCATTATCAATAAATATCCCATATTTATTGAGCTGTACATATTGTGTTTTTTTTAACAAAGTAAAGGAAGGGATGTTTTATGTGGGGGTAATGTCTGCCTTGTCATGAACAGACCTCGAGGAGTGTATTCTCGTAACGTCACTTTAAACTGTGAGTCCCCTGGCCTCTTACCATAGCAGTGGCAGTGGATCCTATGCTGTTATGTCACCGCTGGCAACACATGTTACCGCGTCGCATGGAGACCATGATCCTCAACATGCCTGTCTGTGACATTAAACTCCTGGACAGATTATTTTAAAATTTGTTTCTGGAGACTGCTGCTAAAAGTTGTTGGTCAATTCTGATTTTTGCTATACTTACTGATTACAAAGCTGATTTTATGTAAGGTCATAAGTGAGCTTTTCCATGTATGTCATGACATTAATCACCCATTTTACTTTTAACCATATTGAAACTTGAAAAGCATATATTGCATAAGGTCATAAATGAATTTTTCATGTATGTCATGAGCTCAACAGACTGCAAAGAATGCCGCTGTGAAATTTGTGAACTACATTACAGTCTTGTTCCAGTCTTGTTTTTTAAAGTCTACTGGTACAAAATATTCATCAAAATTGTTATGAGTTAGAATAATTAATTTTCCATTTTTATTTTTTCTCAGAATTTTATGAAATGGTCTGTATCCCAAAATCATCTTGAATAGAAAACAGATTGATATTATAAATAAAAAATGGATGAAATTAATGAAGAGGAACCTATATTTAATATAATGGAAATAAGGTACACAAATGACAAATGATGAACTTAAACTGCAATAAAAGTTTCACTGTAATTCGTGTTTGTTTGCTTTTGTATGAGCTGCTGTCATGTTGCTTTGAATATAAAATACCTGATGCACTGAACACTAGAAATAGGCTGTTCATGTGAGAAGCCAGTTCTGCATGTTTCATTTGCAAAGCATGAAGCTGTATCAATTTAGTGAGAAAGCTGTGATAAATTTGTGAGGTTTCAAGGTTTGCACAGTGTCTATGAACAGTACTATCTTTTGGAATGTGACATTGTGTAGTCTGGTAGAAGTTTACTGATATTTCAGAGGAGCGTACTGTGTCTGTCTTCAAGCTTACGTGGAGTGGCTATAAAATAACAGGACTGATGCTTTAAAATCTGTTATTCACCTAATCACACAATGGAAATGTTATCACCTTCAAAGTGGTCCCCTACACAGCTCCATGCAAATCTTTCACTGTTGGAAGCAATTCTGCAGGTCCTTTTCTGATAGCTTCTTCATTACCTCTGTTGCCTTTGCCTTCACTGCATCTACAGACTTCAGACAGGTTCCTTTTAATACAGACTTGATATTTGGAAATAAAAAAAATGTCACATGGGGCCAGGTTAGGTGAGTAGGGTGGATGTTCCAACACAGGGATCTTTTGCTCCGACAGAAACGTCTTGACAATGCATTGTGTGCCGGTGCGTTATCATGGTGAAGAATCTATGATTCTTCCAAATTTCAGTCTTTTTCTACTCACCCATTCACAGAGGATTGTCAAAATCTCCTTATAGTGTACCTGGTTAACGGTGTGACCTTAAGGCATCCAATCAATGTGAGCAGTCCTTGGATATCAAAAAAAAATCATCATTCCTTTGAAATTTTACTTGCTCTTCCATGCTTTTTTTTTCTTGGTGACCTGGGACTCTTCCAGTGCATGGATTGGTGTTTTATTTTCCTGGTCGCACTGAAAAAACCATGATTCATCACAGGGTATTACATTTCCTATAAAGTTTGGATCATTTTCAGTGTTTTGAAGGATGTCAGCACAAATGTTCATTTGAGTTCCCTTTTGCGTGGGAGTGAAGATTCTCGGCACTATCTTCAAGCACACTTTTTTCATGTAAAATCTGTCGAACACTTTCTTTATCAGTGTTAGCTAATTCAGCAACTGCTCGAATGCTCAGGCAACAATTTTTTTGAACAATTTCACTGACTTTTTCAATGTCAGTATCTGGTTTTGACGTGCAAAGTCAACTGGGACATGGATCGTCTTCAATCACTCCCCTTCCCTCGTTAAATCTTTTGAATCACTCAAAAACTTGAGTACAAGGTAGACATTCATCACCATAATTTTCCATCAACAAACTATATGTTTCTGTAGCAGGTTTCTAAGTTTTGCAAGGAATTTCACATCAACATGTTACTGTACTGTAACACTTAACATAATTCCGACAGAGCTCAGATACACAGTCCACTTCAAACAAAGACTGTTACCATACTGTTAGTCATGTGGCCTTTGAAGTTGTAAGGTTAATGGAGAGGTGAGGACAGGGTAATATGCCACCCCACTCACTGTTACCAAGGCCACAAAGAGTAGACAGAGAAATCCATCTTATTTTATAGCCGCTCCACATAAATACAAGGTTAGACAATTAAGTTCCAGGACTGCATGAATTTTGAGAAAAGCACATTTAAAATTGAACATATTGTGGCATATCTGCTCTATACAGGAACTGTTGAGCCACAGAGGCCTCACGGCACACGCGCAACAGGAGAGTTGTAGATTGTATCGGTGCATTACTAGGTGACAACTCTGTGAACGCTTGAATTGCGCAACAGGAAGTAGAGGTCACATACCCCCACCCAGCCTGTCACTACGGGACGCTCGATAAACACCCCTCCACACTAGGCTGTGATGTCATGCAACAGTGGTAGCTATCACATAACAGGTTTCTATGGAGTCTGTTGCTGGGCAATCGCGCAGTAAACATGTTCCAACAATATAGGCCGTTTTCTGTGGGGTCGGTGCGGAGGCTATCAAACGAGAGTATTCGTCAGTGTTGAGGCGGTTAAGAGTAGACGAGAGTGGCAGAAACAAGTGAAGTGGATCTAGGAATACAGAAGGTCACCCTTTGAGAATGTAAAGTGTGACTGGAAGATTTCGTGTTTAATATTTGTAATGATTTAAGTGACAGTTTCTGTGTGGAGATCTGTTGCTAGGAGACGACTAGTGGAAGACATAGAATCCTAGTGCATGTGCAGCAGTGAACTGGAAAGTGTGTAAATCAGCGGTAGATCTGTATATAAGTGTAACTAAAGAGAGAGTGTGTAAATTAGTGGTTAATAAAACCAATTACCAATCTGAACGGCGTCTTCATTAGCCAGACACGTTACAGTATCTTTTAATATTCTTCAAAATAATCTTGAGATGTCACCCACTTTCGTGTTCAGTCATAAAATCGTTGGAAAACCTTTTGAACTCATCTGCGTGTAATCCCAGTAATTCCTTTGTTACATTTTTTTTAATGTCCTCTGTGTTTTCAGATCATTCAGTGTGGATTTGATTTTGGGGAATAAGAAAAAGTCTGGTCGGGATAAATCAGGATAATAAGGTGGTGGGGGTGATTTAACTCTGGAATACTTGTTTTGCCAAAAACTGCTTTATTGGTGCCACAACATGAGATCTAACATTGCCACGTAGAGGAACCAGCTTCCTCTTTCCTGAAACTGAGGTCTTACTCAATTAAATTCTTTGAACCAAGCAAGACAGTACTTCCACTTAATATTCTTTATTCACCGTCAGACCTGGTGGAACGAATTCTTTGTGAATGATTCCCTGACCGTCGAATGTGACCAACATCACTATTATACTTTTTACATTTTTTTTTTTGTGGCTTGGGAATTACTATTCCATTCTTTGTCCTTTTGTTTGGCGATCATACTTGGAACACTAGATCTCATCACCCATTACAGCTGAGTCCAGCAAGGAACAGTCATCCATATATTGAATAAACTCTTGACAAGCTTGCAGTCTGAGAGCCATTTGTTCAATGGTCAAACAGTATGGAAAAATCTAGCGCAGATCTTCCGTTTTCCGAGATCTTCCACTAAGATTGCACCAAGACTGCAGCCACCTGCTCACGCTGGTTCCTCACTTGCGGATTCTTCTACCCTGAAGATGGAGGTGGTATGTTCCTCTGAAATGTCAGTGCACACAAGATCTACATGGCACCACGTCCCAGACGACAGCGTTCTTCATGTTCCTACATGCTTTTAAATGCATGTAATGGACTGAGTCCAGAAATTTAATGTCAAACTTTGTTGTATACCCAGCATGCAAAGACACAAGCAGAACAGTATGTGGGCTTGGAAATTAGCCCTTGTTACAGATTTTGCACATCGATAGTAACAAGTTTATTCTTGCCATGTATTATAATACTACTATATTTTCCATCTGTTTTCAAAGTCTGTTACAACCACCATGATGAACTGGAAGATGTGCTGCTCAAGTGGCACACCAGTTTAAATTACGTAAGTTACATATACTATATATATACACACACACGTATTAATAAATCCTCATGGTTGCAAAATGCAAGGGCTTTCCAGAGATGACTGGATATAACATTTAGAATCAGGAAGAGTTTTAACTGAATAAGAGCTTATAATTTTATTATTATGACAAGAAATAGCTTGTACTGAAAGGAGCAGAGAGTATTAGGTCTTCTAACTATGATTCAAGATTTTACCAACAGCTGCAGTAATGTTTAGTTCTTACCAAAGAATATCAGTTCTGTCTGCTGCTGTTTGGGATTTTGGGTTTTTACAAATAAGAACTGGTAGTAATGAATTATAGATTTTTACTGTAATGTATATATTGACTTTGTTCTTGTACAGTTACTTTCCAGCCAGAAAACCAGGACATTTTCATTTCATGAAGCAGTCATTGGATTAATTGAGATTTCATAGTATGCTGGGGCTGACTTTGTCACATAAAACTGCCTGTGACTGTGTAAGTGTGTTTTGCCATCACATTGCAAAGATATTGAACTATCATATCATTGCTTTATTTCATTGTCCTTGGTTGAAGGGTACTGTTTATTATTTTTATCATCTAAATGCCCCTCTCCGGTTTTTATTTTTATTGTATTCCCAGCATGAAATGCTGAATTTAAAAAGGTTAGTGAATATGGGAGTTGAATTGTGTGAATCTGTATTGTGTGGAACAAGTTAGTGAGATTTAAAGATTTGTTAAGTTAAAAGAAAATTCTCCTTTGAGATTTCAGGTTCTCATGTTATGTAGTTCAGTAGATAGTTAACCAACATTTCAGGGAAACCTGATGTCTTATCTTGCACCTTGAGGATGCAGTCAGCTGGTTCCTCTGAAATGTTGGTACTTATCAAACTGCATGATGTCACATCCCAAAGGACAGAAATCTTCAGAGCTTCCATTTTATATGTTATATTGCATATGTCAAGCAAAAATTTACGTTAATAGTTTACATCATTACCATTGTACCAGTTATATATATTAATATATTGAAAACCATCTGTATCAAATGGTTGTAATATATTAATATATACAAAAATGTGTGAATTGTTTGAAATGAATATCCACCATGATAGGTTTATTCAGGTTTGGCTAGGCAGTATCTTCATCTGCAGAGTGACTATTTCCATCATGTATTTAAATCTCAGCCTCTCCAGAATCACATAGACCTATGTCTTAATTGTAACTAAACTGATTAAGTTGTCATGAGGAGAATGTTAGGATTTATAAAAGAAGATTTATTGAACAAAGAGCATAGTTCAAATGACATGTTCTGTACATTTAGTAGCTTCAAATTTGGAATGTCTGACAACAAATGCAACTATATTAATACAAGCAGAGCAGAAGAAAAAATACAGAATGAAGTAAGCTCTATAGAGAACAATATTCAATTAATCTGTCATTAAAAACTGCTTTTCAGTTTTCTCTGATTCTTGTAAGGTGTGTAATGAAGGTGTTTATTATTTGGACCACTAAGGGGATGCCAGTAGATGGCATAATTTTCATAAGAGCCCAGTTATGTGTTCAGAATTCAAGAGATTGTAGCATAGAATCCCCCCTCAATGAAGGGGTTAATTTTGAATTGTGGGTTGGACCTCCATTATGAATTGTGTTGCAGTAGCAAAAGATAACAAGAAGCTGTGGCACTGGAATGTCTAGTGGAAAATCAGCTAGTAGAAATGAGTAGCGGAAAGTCTGTTATCCTGGTCAGAGTGAAAGATGCAGTGATTCACAACTTCTACTTTCAAAGGATAACATTACCAAACCATCATCTGTGAGCTACACAATGTAGGCTTTTTAAAGAAGACCCAGCTTTTTATTTGTTGTTAGTAGGAACACTGGAGCTACTTCTGTAGAGAAAACCAAATGGAATTTTGAAATGCTTATTCTATGAATAAAAATACAAACATATAAGTAAATGAAAAATTTAGAATATTTGTAAGTAGGGGACTGGGGATACATTTGGACACCACTTCACATTATTTGGTTTTCCCTCTTAGAATAGCATAATCTGCATATAGGTGATCCCCAAGAGGGGTAGGTTTAAACAAAGTTGGAATATCTTTGAACTGTACTGGGAGAGCTTTGAACATCCAATTTTTTAGCCTTCTGTAGCAATTTGTCATTAATTTGGAAGCAGATGTTAGAAATACAGAAAATTATAATGAAAAAGAGATCATAAAACTTGTAACAAAAGGAATAAAATAATCATATATTGTTGTGAAGTGACAACAGTTCAACCCATCCAGAATGTGTTAAAAGTTAACATGAAAAACGAATGTTTTAGTAGCTTGTACTGCTCCACAAGTGGAAATTGGATTAGAGTATTTGCAGATTATGTCACCATAAGTACTGGCCACTTGTCTTCTTTATCAGGGAGAATAAATGGGCTGGTGTATCAGTTTGTCCCCAAAACTTGACAGCACATTCATCACATTTCTGCTCCACTTGTCCTGCATAGTGGAAGATTTGCATTTTGGAAGCAAATTTGATTAACATGAAGCCATTTTACTTAACTGAAATTGAATTATATTTCTCACAGTCTGTTTCTGTTGCAGCCATCATGTTCTTGGCCTCATTTAAGTCTGAAGTAAATATGTCACTGTTATCCTGAACAGAAAGAATTTCTTCACTGGATTCTTTACTCTGGTCACAATCCGGTGCATCTCTTTTGTTTCTTCAGGCTTTTCTTTCTTTCACGTGGCAAGTGGCAGTTCCAGCCCCCCCAAGCTTCTTCCTTTCTTGAGTTTCTTGTTCAGTTCATTTTCTTTCTGGCATGTCAGAATTATGGACTTGCTGGTTACTCTGTGCTTTTGTTGCTTTGGATTTTGCATATGGTGTAATGTGTGCATTAGTTAACAGCTGCTGGGGCAGTAAATGAGGGCTGTTTGCCAGTCGAGAGTATCCTTTTTGTGGCATTTGTCATCAAAATATCATTTCTCACTCTTTGGGGGAGGGGCAGCATGGGTAATGCACTTGCAGTAGCACTGATTACAGTGCATAGATACAAGTTGGCTTCTTTCAGCTGAAACTGCCTGTTCAACTTGTTTTCTTCTATTCTCAGCAGTGATATTAACAGCGTGAACTATCATAGACACTGCTGTTTTGTTTAAGTTAAAAATGGAGTCAGCTGTGAATATAAATTTATACAGAACTTTGTATAATTGTTTTGAATTTCATGACATTAGTTCATGTGAAAGTGGTTGTGTGTGAGAGGTTATGTTCTCTGCCTCTGTTAACGACATTGTTTGATATGTTTTCATGTGGCCCTTCCTGTGCATTTGTTCGTTTTCATTTATTATGGCAATGACCTAATTTTTCAGTATAATCATAAGCTAATATAGGGATTTGTATATAAGTCAATCCATATGTCATTTTGGAGCATTTCTGGTTATAATTCTTCAGTGTTTCCTCTTCATGATTAATGAACATTTGGTTTTCAGAAAACCTTGAAGTGCACTTTCTTCTATTACTGGAGTTATTTAGATTCATGATGCAGTAAAATAACAAGCATGTTTTTTACATCAAACCTTTTAGCTGATCTCCTTATTGATACTTTTTCTTTAAAAAATGTATTAAGCACTTTTTCCATATAATAATTTATTTCAGGGGGTGTGGGTCATTTTTTTACATAAGTTCTAATCATATTGTATTCACAAAAAGTAAGGTAAAGCTAATATTAAACAAACAAAATTGTTGAAAAGTATAATATAACTAACAGTGAAAAAGTAATTGATAATTGAGGCACTTATGAACATTGTTCAGATCTACCTCCAGTGACAGTATTGTAACATCGTGTTTTGGAATAGTTGTCTTACTGTCAGTAGCCACTTAAAATCTTGATTGTCAGCTTGTTTTTGGCCACCACTATTTCACCATATTCTACTTCACTATCCTTTCTTGTGTATTGCACTGTGCTAACTTGCAGTTCATGCACTTTCTCTTGCACTGGTTGCAGACATCTTCTGAACTCAACTTCTGACCTTATGAGCAGACTAAGACTGAACCAAGGCTGTCCTCTCCTCACCTTTCAACTACCATTTTATGCCCAGTCATTCTAGAAGCCTCTACTAAAGTTTTGGTTACTCCTTCAACAGTCTCCAGAATGATCTAGAAGGGGTTAGTTTCAGTGTTTCACAAAGAGAGGTCTGTGCCAACACCCCCACCTTCCTGACTTACGTGACAGTATGTTGTAATTGATCCCATAACTTAGTAGATTATGAAACAGATTAAAAGAAATGATGCATCACATTCTTAAATATTAGTACTTACCTCAGGAAGAAATAATATTGAAATAAATATCAAACTTTCTTCATAAAATTACTAGAGCTCTGAAAATCTGTATATAGCCCTTTTATTTAGTGGAAAATTATATTCAAACCCGCCCCATGTTGAAAGGTACCTCTCTTCCCTAATTTGAATGTAACAGCTTACTAATATGACCACTGAGCCTTCACTGTTGATGTCAGATATTTGATGTCAGGTGTTTACATCATTATATTTATATGCTATCTCAGTACCATGACTGCAGGCTGCTGTGGTTCATTTTATAATAAGCACTGTTAGCCATAACTCTCACAAGTCTGAATGTTATTTTCAGTAAAATAAGTTCAGTAAAACAATTTTGACCTTCATTGGTCCTGAAGTAGCAATTGTTGGTTGACAGGAATGAGTAGACCATAACAAGGAACAATGAAAGTACAGTTTGCATGAGATGAAGATTCTTCAGGAGGAAATGTTTGCAGAGAAATGTCTGATTGGTAATATATTGAGAATTTATGTAATTCTACATAATGCTGACCTCTGAATTAAGCAATAGTGAAATTGAACATTTAGTAGGATTTGTGTAGGTATCACTATTTGTTTTCAATAAGCTGCAACTGTAAGGTTGTGCATCACTACAGTATGTTCTTTAAAAGAAATGTTGGCTATTTGGATGTTTTTCAGATGCTCACAATGCACTGTTTGAAAGAAGAATGTTCTCATCAAGGTTGTATTTGACACACTAAATGTAGTAGCAACACAGATAGTGTTTGAACTTGCCATAGTGTGGGGTGTAGTTCATGATGGGAATGTGTTCAGGCACATTCTCAGAGTTCGATGTGTTAATTGCCTTTAATTTTTAATTCATTTCATATTACTGAAGATTGCCTCATTTACTTTATACATTCTGCTAGAAATGTTGTTTACATAATTGACAAACTTACACTTGACTAAGTTCATCTTGGGTTCTGTTTGGAAGGGAATGGAAAAATTCCATCTATGAAACCATACACATCTCCTCCTCCTCCATAGGAGGCTCACAGTTCTGGGTTAATGCAAAAGTTCACAATGGTATGGCCCATGTATTTTCTTTCAGGCCCATATTGCAGCATCCTTTTCTGTACTTGGATGTACTTAAATCACTTACATACAATCAGCACAGCACTTATTTGCCAGTTACTTACTGTGAGCTGCAGGCTCTCGTGACATAAGCACTATCTTCAGGCCCATAAAATCAAACACTAATGAAGATTGCAGAATGCAAGTTCCAGTGAATTACAGGCTAATACAAATGGATGGCAGCCCATCGGATACCATTTTGGCATACTAAAGACAGTCAGACAATATTCCAAGAATATAAATGTCTGAAATTGCTTGAATCATTAAGGTATAACATGTAAAATTGTGGATATCCACATTAGGTAAATCACAGAGTGTTTTGCACTGCAGGGATGAAACTAGCGAGTATTTTGTACTTCAATTTTATGGCTTCACGTCACTCGCAAGTTAGTTTGATGTTACATACATTATTAACATTACAGAATCCACATATTCCTGCCAGTTTTAATATGTATTTTGTAATCAACAAGTGTGTAACAGCGGTCAAAGTTTCACACTTCTCTGGCCATTATCTCCGTAACCGTTAAACTTTGGACATAGGTGTTTTGGGTTATATCGGCATACTTTAACATAAGGAACACCCTCCCGAAGTTTGGTCCATTCCTCCTGGGACATCCTGTATACTAACATGCAGTCCATCCATAAGATGTCGTTGCTCTAGAGCAAGGGTCTCCAAACTACGGCCCACGGGCCACATCTGGCCCGCAATGTGATTTTATCCAGCCCGCGGAAGAATTGTGCAGAAATGCGCCAATTGAACTAATTGTCCAGTGAGTACTGGTAAATGTGAGTCCAAGCTTATTGACCTGACATATTATACTGCAGTTCGATGCCCTAGCTGTGGAAAGGTTCTTTCGCGCTTCTTTCAGCTCAGGAATGAAACTGATATATTTCTTACCAAGAAAAACCATCACGAACCACTGTTATCAAATACCGAGTGGCTTTGGAAATTAGCATTTTTTTTTTTTCTGATCTGGTGAACCATATGAACCATTTGAATTTAAAGTTGCAGGGTGAAAATAACTTAGTCTGTGATTTATTTGCACTTATCAAGGTATGCAAAGCAAAGTTGATACTTCTGGAAAGCCACGTGAAAAATTGTAACTTTGTTCATATGCTATACTGTGCAGAGTTGAATAAAAAGGGTGAAGCAGAATTTCCTTCCTTGTTTGCAAATTTAGTCATTTTAGATTTGAAAGAACAATTTCGGAAGCGATTTGATGATTTGGATTCCAGTGCTCGGGAAATTAGATTGTTTCAAAATCCGTTTGACTGTGATGCTGCAGATGTCAAATTCAAATGGAAATTATTGAACTTCAGGAAAATTATCATATTAAAGACAAATACAAGGA